TCAGCTTGTGTCTCAGCTTGTGTCCCAGCTTGTTTCCCAGCTTGTGTCCCAGCTTGTGTCTCAGCTTGTGTCCCAGCTTGTGTCTCAGCTTGTGTCCCAGCTTGTGTCTCAGCTTGTGTCTCAGCTTGTGTCCCAGCTTGTGTCCCAGCTTGTGTCTCAGCTTGTGTTTCAGCTTGTCTCCCAGCTTGTGTCCCAGCTTGTGTCCCAGCTTGTGTCTCAGCTTGTGTCTCAGCTTGTGTCTCAGCTTGTGTCCCAGCTGGTGTCTCAGCTTGTGTCTCAGCTTGTGTCTCAGCTTGTGTCTCAGCTTGTGTCTCAGCTTGTGTCTCAGCTTGTGTCTCAGCTTGTGTCCCAGCTTGTGTCCCAGCTTGCGTCTCAGCTTGTGTCTCAGACACTGTAACATAGGGTGCGGTAACTTATGCGAGGTTACTTGTTGATGACATTGTACGTTTGTACGATTTGAACACGGGGATACATTCATTGGCCGAGCAGTGCATTGCAAAGCGTTGCAATTACATTACGGTTGTATTAATTGCATCTTCTATAGATAAATAATCATAAATTATAATAAGTAAATAATATATTCAGTAAATTAATTGAATTAGTAAAATAATATATTTACTTTTATAAGTAAATAATTAATGTAATTGCAGTATGTAATCGTATATGTAAATGTGATTGCAAGTAATAGGTGAGATAAATTATATTACTATGTGACAGTGGTGAGTAATAATGGTTCGTTAACGATCATTACTATAATTAGTGAGTAACGACGGGTCGTTAACGACCGTCAACGGACGCGTTGCGTTGCCCCGAGTCCTGCGTCTCACCCGCCGCCTCCGACCCCCGCGTCTCACCCCGTGTCTCACCTCGCGTCTCACCCCGTGTCTCACCCCGTGTCTCACCTCGCGTCTCACCCCGTGTCTCACCCCGCGTCTCACCCCGTGTCTCACCCCGTGTCTCACCCCGCATCTCANTCGGCCGGCGTCTCGGCTTGTGTCTCGCTTGTCTCGCCTGCTGGCTTGGTCTCTGTCTCAGCTGGTGTCTCAGCTTGTGTCTCAGCTTGTGTCTCAGCTTGTGTCTCAGCTTGTGTCCCAGCTGGTGTCTCAGCTTGTGTCTCAGCTTGTGTCCCAGCTTGTGTCTCAGCTTGTGTCTCAGCTTGTGTCCCAGCTGGTGTCTCAGCTTGTGTCTCAGCTTGTGTCCCAGCTTGTGTCTCAGCTTGTGTCTCAGCTTGTGTCCCAGCTTGTGTCTCAGCTTGTGTCCCAGCTTGTGTCCCAGCTTGTGTCTCAGCTTGTGTCTCAGACACTGTAACATAGGGTTGGCTTATGCGAGGTTACTTGTTGATGACATTGTACGTTTGTACGATTTGAACACGGGGATACATTCATTGGACGAGAAGTGCATTGCAAAGCGTTGCAATTACATTACGGTTTTATTAATTACATCATCTATAGATAAATAATCATAAATTATAATAAGTAAATAATATATTCAGTAAATTAATTGAATTAGTAAAATAATTTATTTACCTTTATAAGTAAATAATTAATGTAATTGCTGTATGTAATCGTATATGTAAATGTGATTGTAAGTAATAGGTGAGATATATTACTATGTGACAGTGGTGAGTAATAATGGTTCGTTAACGATCATTACTATAATTAGTGAGTAACGACCGTCGACGGATGCGTCGCGTCACCCCGAGTCCTGCGTCTCACCTGCCGCCTCCGACCCCGCGTCTCGCCCGCCGCCTCCGACCCCCGCGTCTCACCCGCCGCCTCCGACCCCCGCGTCTCACCCGTGTCTCACACGCCGCCTCCGACCCCCGCGTCTCACCT